ATTTTGACAGAAGAATAGAACAGAACAGAATAAAATAGAATAGAATAGAATTCTTTATTGGCCAAGTGTGATTGGACATACAAGGAATTTGTCTTTGGTGCATATGCTCTCAGTGTACATAAAAGAAAAGATACATTCATCAAAAATTATAAGGTACTTAATGATAGTCATAAGGTACAAATAAGCAATCAAATCATACTAGGAAACAATATAAATCATAAGGATACATGCACAAAGTTACAGTCATACAGTTCATAGGTGGGAGGAGATGGGTGATAGGAACAATGAGAAGATTAATAGTAATGTAGACTTAGTAAATAGTTTGACAGTGTTGAGGGAATTATTTGTTTAGCAGAGTGATGGCGTTCGGTGAAAAAAACTATTCTTGTGTCTAGTTGTTCTGGTGTGCAGCGCTCTATAGTGTCATTTTCCTCTTCCTTCATTCAGCAAATGGTTTCATTTAAATATTTTTTTAAATCTCTTTTTAATGGGGGAGCTTTCTCCTCCTCGCTGATTATAACCTGTAAATTCGAGATGATTATTTATCATTTAGCAAATTAATCTGTTTTGTTTGTTGCAACAGATAAAACAATATTATGAAGCTGAACCAGACCTTCTGCCCCCGTTGAAGTTAGAAAAATGCATCCTGGCTCAAAGAGATCAAATCTTCTTGCAGGAACCTTTGGTGAGAAAGGAAAAAAAAAGTGGGAGCATTCAGTAGTTCTTTTTTGAAACACTTTTTAAAAATGTGTGTCAGAGATTGCATTCTGAATCAAGAAGAGGATATTGGTCCATGTACTATACATATTGGCATATTTTGTTCATTGAAGGCAAATGAAATGCAACTTTTGAAAAAAAAATATTCAAGGTTTGGCTGGCTCGAAATGAGAAAAGGACATTTCTCATTCATAGTTTAATGCCATGATTCTTTCAGGCTCATCTCTTGTGCTGTATTCAACATTGTTTGGCCTGGTATACAAACGTTCTAACTGTGCACCAGCAAACTGAAGATGATCAGGAGGAGGAGGAGGAGGATAGAAGCTTCCAGCAAGAATTGGATAAGATGTTGGAATCCATCACAAGACGAATGATCAAGAGCGAACTGGAAGATTTTGAGCTGGTAATTGACTCATTTGTTTATTTGTGACATTTCTATGCCACTCTACTCCAAACAGCTCTGTGCAATATGTAGAAGAATAGAATAGAATTCTTTATTGGCTGAGTGTGATTGGACACACAAGGAATTTGTCTTTGGTGCATATGCTCTCAGTGTACATAAGGAGAATAAAATCCATTCATCAAGAATCATAAGGTACAATATTTAATGATAGTCATAGGGTACAAATAAGCAATCAAATCATACTAGGAAAAAATCAGCATAAATCGTAAGGATACAAACAACAAAATTACAGTCATAGGCTACTTCTGGTGACTGCCGGCTGCCAGCAGTTTGATTCTGACCAGCTCTTGGTTGACTCAGCCTTCTATCCTTCCGAAGGGGGTAAAATGAGGAGCCAGATTATTGGGGTCTCCCTTATGCTGACTCTAAACCGCTTAGAGAAGGCTGTAAAGCACTGTGAAGCTGTATAGGTCCAAAGGCTATTGCTATATAAGCCATTATGAAGCGGTATATAAGTCTAAGTGCTATTGCTATGTAAAGCACTATAAAGCGGTACATAAGTCTAAGTGCTAAGTGCTACTGCTATGTAAAGCACTATGCAGTGGTATATAAGTCTAAGTGCTATTGCTATATAAAGACTATGAAGCAGTATATAAGTCTATTGCTATAGAAAGCACTATGAAGCAGNGTTCAAGGGTTTCTCAAGGCTGTGCAGGTAATGTAATGTTATAAATATGGTTGCTCAAAAACCGAGATACTTTTTAAAATACTACTAGCTGATAACCCAGTGTTACCTGGGTATTTATAGACGTAAAAGCATTTGTCTGACAGGGAGCCATTGAGAGGGGCCTTTCTTCCCCCTACTCCCATGCCCATCATCCCTGCCCTCTCCCTTCCCCCTCCCATGTGCTCCTCTTTCCCGCCCTGTCTACAATCCTGGCACATTGCCCCAAATCCATCAGGCACTTCCCCATCGGTCCATTGGAGCGAATGTCACAGCTGGCCTTCCAGAGGATGATGCGAAGGAACTGACATCACAAACAATTGCCACTTTAGGATGCCGCACTTGCTCTGCTTAACGGCGCAGGCTCTCCTTTCTCCCTTCCATGACATCACAAACAATTGCTACTCTAGGACGTTGCACTTGCTCTACTTAACGGCCCAGGCTCTCTCTTCTCCCTCCCATGACATCACAAACAATTGCTGCTCTAGGATGCCACACTCACTCTCCTTAACGGACCAAGCGTTCCAGAGTTATGCTGAAACACACAGATACACACACCAGGGGTGTCTTACCCTCCATTATTTGTTTCCAGAGGGCAAGTCATTTGTGTACCATGTTTGGTTGGAATTGCTTGAGGCGCTCCAGAGTTATGCTGGAACATACATACATACATACATACATACATACATACATACATACATACATACATATTTTTTTATAGATAAAAAAAATTAGAAACACAAAAGCATACTTGGACCAAAAATGAATCTTTAATCACCAGTTTTTTTCCCCTTCTCCCACCCTTAGAGAAAAGACCCAAGTGGTTTATGAAACTGGAGGTGTTTTTATTTTTTTGTATTGCAATATTTTTAAGACATTCTAAATTTTGTTTTCTCTCAGCCTTTGCTCAAAATAAGCATGTCCTTGAGGGACTCGCTGATCCTTGTTCTCCGCAAATCTATGTTCTCTGGGTAAGTTGTCTTTGTTTTTTTAAAAAAATGTCTTCCGTGTTTGTTGATTTTCCCCTGCACACATATGTGCTAAAACTCTTTTTTTTTAAAGTAGAATTCAGTAGAACTGTTTGATCGCTTTTATCTCTAAAATGTTTGCTTGAAGAGTTAAATAATTTTTCAAAAAAAAAAATGATTGATGATTTCCAGACAGAGAGCCTTAAATCCATGTGACCAGGAAAGTGTCAGCGTTCCGGAAAGACCCAACTCCCAGAAAGAAAAACTCTGAGACAGGCATTTTCTCAAAGCACTCAATTATTAGCATAGGTATACAGGCACATCTGGGAAAACCCGAATCTGAGATTTCCGGACTTTTCCCTCAGCAAGTCAAAAGTCCAAACCAACCCCCTGCACCCATCAATCCATCACATTGGGATCCAATCCCAATCCTTCCCAACTTGAGACATCACTTCAACCACTCCTCCCCCAGGTGAAGGAATGCAATGACCTTGACCAAAAAGAAGAATGCTATTATGCCTAACTACATTCCCTCTACTAAATCCCCGCTCCTAATTGCCCAAGCATAAGAATGTGGCAGCGTGGAAGCTTCCGGTGTTAACATGGCTTCCAAAGCTGACAGAAAGTTAACAAATATTCATGTTTCTTTTTAAAAAAAATATCTACCGGGTTTTGGTGGTGAAAGTAGCCCATCATTCTAATACATTTTCATCCTGGGGTGGAGAAACACTACTTTAAATTCGTCTTCTCTCTTGATTGCAGACAACTAGATGCCCGCAAGTCAGCAGTTGCTGGGTTTCTGCTGCTCTTGAAAAATTTTAAGGTCCTGGGGAGTTTGACCTCTTCCCAATGCAGCCAAGCAATTGGAGCCAGTCAGGTAAAGAAAATGGCACTGATATGATATGATATGAAATTATATGGGTTTGTGGAAATACCACCCCCAAGAAAACACAAATTGAGATTTGAAAGAGACACCTATACAATAGAAAAAGAAAGGGAGGGAAGAAGGAAGGGAAAGGAGAAGAGGGTGGAAAGGAGAGAAAGAGAAGGAGAGATAGTAGGAAAGGAAGAGGAAGAGTGGAGGGGAGGTAAGGGAAGAAGAAAGAGGTAAGGAGAGGTGGGTGGAAGGGAGAGAAAGAGAAGGAGAGGAGTGGGAAAGGAAGAGGAAGAGTGGAGGGGAGGTAAGGGAAGAAGAAAGAGGTAAGGAGAGGTGGGTGGAAGGGAGAGAAAGAGAAAGAGGGGAGGGTGGAAAGGAGAGAAAGAGAAGGAGAGATAGTAGGAAAGGAAGAGTGGAGGAGAGATAAGGGAAGAAGAAAGAGATAAGGAGAGGTGGGTGGAAGGGAGAGAAAGAGAAGGAGAGGAGAGTGGATGGGAGAGAAAGAGAAGAAGAGAGG